TGTGAATATGTGGTGAGTAAGCATGACAGCCCTCTATAGGCTAATTAATTTCTTACAAACTGAAAACATCTACATTCCTCTTCCAGTGGTAATAGAGCTTTTTATTATTATTGTTTAGAAATGAGTATAACTTTGAGCTTCATTAAAACCAAATGTTTAATTGCATTCATGGATATCAGATTTATTGATTTACTTAACGTTCCCTGTATAGTACAGCAGAATAATATATAACAGTTTCATATAATGCTGTCCTAGCCAAGTTTTACTTCAGCATCACAATTTCTCAGACAAGTATGTGTTGATGGTTTATGTTGGCAGGGCTTTTGCTTCTGCTGACAAGTTGGAAAAGAAAAATCCCATTTATATTTTGAGATTTCCTAAAGCCTGTTGATTTATGAAATACAACTGGCCTTGCATTAGATTTTGTTTTGGTTTTTCTTTTTAAGAGAAAAAAGTATTACATTTGACTTTATCAACAATTTAAATAGTGGAATTATTCCATCAAATTGCATTTCCCTAATTGAGAGATTTCTGGCAAGTTAAACAGCAATTAATAACAAATTAATTCTTTAAATTATATTTTAATTTCTTTTTCTTTGAGATGGAGAGAGTTCTCCCATCATAGGCCATCTCATATACACATTCCCCGTGTGTCCGTGTGGCATATAATGGTGCACAGTAGGCAAATACCAATGAGTCGTTCATGTTTAGAGCTGATTAGCAGCAATGTGGATGTGGTTTGTTTGGTGCTGACCACCAGACATGAGCAGGATTCAAACCCTGTTGAGAGGTAGAGCAAAATATTAGCTCAGGCTCAAGACCACACTGAAGCTGCTTCCAGTTGGCTTGGAGCCAGTGAACTGATGTCTGGACATGCTGTATGGTATAGATTTTTTTTTTTTTTCCCCCTCTCTCTCTGCTACCAGTGATGAAAAGGACAGCCCGATAGTTTTAGGCAGGGGTTGAATTGTCTCTTGTCTTTCCTGCCCAGCCCATTTGCAAGATCTTTCTGACTTCCCAGCATCAGTATGGTTTTGGACGGGGGAAAACACAGATGCCGTGAATTACATACCTGGAGACCAAAAAATGTATACTTTATATTGCCTTTTTCTCAAATATTTATAAGCTTGGGAATGCTGGTAGTCTTTTGCCTGGTGGAGGTAATGGTAGAAATCCCACAGATTTCGGTAGAAGTTGGTCTTAAAGAATAGCCACTTCTCGAGTACTCGCAGAGTTGCTGAAATCCCTTTGAGGTTCCTTGTCTAATTTTTGGTTGGGGACCTGTAGTTTAATATACTGTCTATTTGCCACATTGGAAAATATTATATTATTTAGCATTAATGCCTCCTGAAAAATGGAAAATCTGCACTGTCTTGGTCTTTGGAGAACATAGGCTGACTCAGGAGTGTGGGAGCACCATGTTCAAGAGGAAGACACAGAAATGGTGTAGGAGTAACAGAGGCTTTTTTGAAACACCTGACAAAAGTGGAAGGAAAAAAAGTAATTTTGGATTTATTTTATTTCAGATTTTTAGTACTGAATGACTGGTAGGTATTGTACATCTAATCCTGCCACACCAAAAAAGAAAGAAACCGTAGCTTTTGACTAGTTACATTTTTAAGGTGCTGTGCTTGGCACTGGTCAATGGGGGAAAAATGCAATTGTAGAATAAGAAAATTAGTCAAAACCAGAGAGCTGGCCAAGATAATTCATATTTGATATTCATTATCTTATTACAGATGGTCACAAGCCAGGTGCTGATATCCTGTGGGCAGCACTCAAAGGAGAAGTGTGCATTAAATGAAAAGTATATTTTCATTTATGCCGAATCTGCAGATTTTTTTTTACCATTGCTTCATATGCAAAGGTGGAACTGTTCTTAAAGGCTCATTCTGTCACTTGGGATGGGAGTCTCGGTGGCAAGTTGAATAGGCTGCCCTGGCTCTGGTGTGCTCAGTAGAAAACAAAATTAATCACTCTTGTATCTGTTCATTTGTCCATATCCTCTGCAGCTAAAGAAAATGAGAAATGGTTATTTAGTTATTTTAGACAGTAGCTGGGTTTACAAGGAGTGCATTGGAAACCTGGCATTGATGTGGCATGTTTTGGCTATGAACTCTTGACGCCGAGATGCTGGCTTTAAAAAAAAAGAGAAAAAAAACAAAACAAAAACAAAAAAGAAAGCTTTACCCAGTAAAAGGATACTACTAAGTCTCTCCCTTTCTAGTGTAAATAATTAAAGAAAATTACTTAAGTCTGTATTTTTTAAGTTAATGTTCTAAGCAGGATAAAGTTTAACATTAAAAATAAAACCCTTCATGATTTTATGTTGGTTTTGAGTTGTCAGTAAAGGAAGATGGTCAGGCTGGCCCATTTCGAACAGTGACTAATGGACTTCTGCCTCCCTTCCTGGTTCCAGCTGCCTCCAAAATTAAATTATTACTTGCACAAGGGAAAGACAACAATCCTTATTTGATTGTGCTGATTACAGAGTTGCTGATTATCGGAGTAAAGGGAATATGTTGTCCTAGTTTCCTAAATTCTTCAAGGAATAAGGCAGATCTGAAAATAATTTAGAACTGTAGGGTGTAAGGTTACTCAAATCAGGGGGTGACCTGCTCGGAGGTGTCTCATATGTCATGCACGCTATAGTGTATCCTGGCTGGAGCTACACGGGTTGCTGTGATAAATCAGTCCTGCTTTTCCAACTGTGATCCATCATACACAGCATGCCTGGGCGATGGGTAAATAATATATCTTACCTGATTTGCCAAGGGTACTAAGGAAGCTGCAAACGAATTATCAGACCCTGATTCTTGGTTCAGACCAGTAAAGCAGACTCCTGCAAATGCCGTTGCACAGCCTTTAATATCCTAGGTTCCCAGTCTTTTTCTCTTGGACTTCTAGGTGTTCTAGTTAACAGTAAAATGGTCATCTGTTGGTTGGCTGAACTGAGGCTGATGATGTTTTGTAGCAAAACTGTGCAGTCGGCTTGGAATGAAAATTTCAGTTAACTGGTTAGGAGGCCAAAGACTGAGTTTCTTCATCATATCTTGCTAAGAATAGAATAGCTAGGGCAGCTTTTCCATGATAATTTTACTTTTTATTTTTAAACCAGTCATTAACCTGCTTCTGGGTCCTTCCTCTTTTTCCTTTTTTTCTTTTTTTCTTTTTTTAGCTTTCTGCAGAAGAATTGTATAGAGATACGTATTGGTCTCACAATGGTTGTAGTATCTTACCTTTGTTGCAGTACAGACAGAAATAAAAAGAGCAGACACTTTCTATACACCAAAGAGACACACTAATAAAATACAGCCAGCTTTGGGCTGAAAATGATTGCTGTTTAATTGCATATGTAGACAGTATAGAGCAGTTTAGAGGAGGAATTGAAGAAGAATACCTTGGCCAATTAAAAATTTCATGGAATTCCAGGTAGGTAGATTGTAATTATTGCTGCTGAACTTTGCCAGTGCTTAGGGATTAATGCCTTCATAATTTAAAGACAGGGAGGAAATTAGTAATGCAGTGCACTCTTCAGTGTAGAGTCTAATTGATGAATGCTTACAACAGCCCATAAGCAAATGCTTATCCCTAGTTTAGGAAAGAGAAATGGGTTTTAAAGGGTGCCTTTCTCGGTCACTCAGTTACCCAACAAAACCTGATGTCCAGCTCGATGTAGGAATTATCTAGGACCCTCCTGTGTGGTTGGCAGTGTGTGCTCAGGATGCCAGATAGACACTTGCAAGTTAGGCACAGAATATTAAATTCCTTTCTCTTACAGTATTTTCTACCTGAGCCCTGTCTGTAAACCTGCTTCACGCCTTCTTATGCTGTGCCAGTCCTGATGTACAATAGAGCAGTCGTCCTACTCTGTGGTCCTACAGTTGCAGTTATAATAACTAATTCCAACGGTATTGTTGGAGATCGTCCTACTTTATGCCATATAGTACCAGAAATCCTATTCCAGCATGCGCAGACCATGGACACCCATACCACACTGCCTGTTTTTCCTGTGCTGAGCTGAAAGAGCAGCCTTATGCCAGCAGCTTCCTCAGCAAGAGGAACTGGAGAGATATTCAACCTTTTGTCAACTTCGTTTGATGTAGCAGCTGGGCATAATTGGGCAGGACCCGGCACAAGAACCCAGGCATGGCTTTTATTTGGTGAGTTGTCTGGTGTATACAGGGAGAGCGGGTTTTGGTGAGGAGGCAGCACATCAAGCCCAGAATTGGTTACGTTTCCTAGGTTCTTCCACATGTTTCTTGGAGCAAGGTGTTGTATCTCTTCCTAAACCCTTCTTTCCTCTTTGCGTACTGTAGCTTAAAGTAGTGCAACAAGAGTGCTTTCATTGACAGAAAATCTTTGAGATCCTCAGAGAGTAGATGGTATTGCTGTAAAAATAATTATTTTGGGTAGGAAAATGAGTTAAACAGGAATCCACTGGTTACTATATCTGAGCTTCATTCTGCTGCCCCACTGTGCAATATTTAATAATCCATTTTGATACTGCAATGCCTTTTTCATCTGGCAGAATTGATGCTTGCATCAGCATTTGGTTTAAAAGGTATAATGCACAGTGCAGATCATAATAAATTCTTTCACTCTGTACCTTTTCTTACAAAAGCATTTCACCACACTTTTGTTCATTACTGTTTGCCATGGGTCCTCAGAAGCACTCACATCGTGACTCCACTCCACAAAGGCAATGCATCACTGGGAGAATGGAAAACACATGAAACACAAATATAATTTTGCTGTACGGTACAGCACTTCAGAAGAGGAAAATTTTCTTTGAGCCATTGCTTCTTTTAAAATATAGTGTGCTGCAATGACAAATATACAGCTTTGATGCTTCCTGCTCCACTCGACCATGACACTGTAAATCAGTGTTTTGCTTTTTCATACTCCGTCATTATTAAAATCTGTTGTAACTTTGTTGTAGACAAATGTACGTTAGCTCTTCAAAACCATGCATCTTACTCTATTCTCTTCTGTAACAGGGGAATTATTGTATTTGAAAACACAAGCTATATTCTGGAGCCATTAGAAGGTGCTACAAGTGAACACAAGATCTACCGAGCAGAGAATTTGAAAATAACCCCAGGATCTTGTGGCCACCAGCTGGACATCTCTGCCATGAGAGCTGATGACCATGACACATCACACCATTCTCAAGCTGGCAGGGTAGGTGGATGAAGCACTTTTATGTTTCTGGTTTGCTGAGTACATCTCTGGTAGCATTTCCATATTAACTGCCTGCCATAACTCTTTGTTACAGAGTCCCTACTGAGCAAAACACTAAACAATATAGTCAACTTCTATTGACGTCATGTGCTTAAGTGCATGCTTAAAATTAAGCATATACTTACATGATTTGCTAAAGCTTTGTTACTTTTTCTTGATCCTGCATGCATAACTTGCTTTTTACTTTCTTTTTGGTAATGAGATGGCACAAAAAGGTTTATGGTTTCATATTATGGTGATCTATTTTGGTTCATGTATCATTATAGCCAGAATTTAAGGCCCCTGTAAGAATACTGAGCAATGTCTGCAAAAGTTCTTGCCCACCCAGGATGGAAGAGAACATGATAGCTGTGATGCTTTGCTAATACTAGGATTTGAACCTTTACCTTCTAGTAGGAAAGTATCTTCTGCAGACAAAACAAATTCTCACCGTATTATTTTACAGATGTATTATTGTAGTTGTTTTTATGTAGGAAGAAATGCACTTAATGTCAAATGCATCTAGCTGATGGAAACTGTAGAAAATTAAATGAGCTGAAAATCAGGAAGAGGAAATACTGTAATAAGTTCATCTGCATATTGGATGAGGATTGTGGAAAAGACTGGTTTAGGTGTTCAGAAATTATACAACGATACAAACCTGCCCTCAGCGTTTATTAAATGTCACATATTGGGATTTATACTTGCATGTACTACTAAACCTTTGGATCAGGTTAATTGTTAAGGAAAGCAACCTAAATGGCATCCCTAGATATTATTTATGTAGTGGAATTAAGTTATTTTACATTTTAGGAATATTAAATATTATGATTAACGCATTAGCCTTTACATATGCCATTTTATGGGCTAAGCATATTTCTAAAAACGTCTGTAGGTTGAAAGCATTGGAAAAGTACTTTTTGCAACTTTATTAAGGTTTCCCCAAAATCTTTGTGACTTTTGACTGAATTTCACTGAAGTAATCAATGTAACACTAGGAAACTGAAATAAAATGTGTGCATACAACTAACTGATACAATCAAAGCAATTTTACTATTACCCTCGTGGTTCTCACATTTTGTTCAGTGGATATAATTATAAAACCTGTCGACAGTCCCGTCATATGGATAGGTACAATATATATAATGAGTATGTTGGATACACTTCTAACTTATGAATTTTGAAAGTTGTCAGATGTAATGTGTGGAGCAAGTTTTCACATTTCAGTGTTGTCATCAGCTAAGTAGACTGTCAGGACATATTGAATAAAGATGACCTGCAAAGTATGGAGACATAACGCTGCTCCAAATTACAGTGGGTGACAGAAGTAAGCAGAAATGTAGTCGCAGGTTCAGGGCATAATGAAAATTTTTGGTTTCTTGACAGGCTTTGTGGGGAGCTTTTTATTTGTTTTTTTTTCCCCTGACCCTTCACTCAACTATCTACACTCAATTCTTATTGAGCAGAGCTGAAAAGTGAGATCAATATATCACAAAGTTAGACTAGCCTTTGGGTTAGATTTAAGTACAGATAAGTGATGGGACAAACAGTAGACTCGGCTTCCCAGATCCAAACGTGAGATTTAATAGAGCAAGTCAGGTAATGTAGCAGATGTGTGCAGACACGTTTTGCCCCATTGGAGCTGGGTCTCTATAAATACTGGGTCATTTCATAACTCAGTAGACCCTTAAATTGCAGCAGGGAGTGTGTTTTCCAGTTGAGCTCCGTTGAGATAGGATCCTACAGAAAGCGAGCCTGACGTGTAAGACAGCCCTTACAGTATGGCTTTTTCTCTGTAGCCACACAAAAAAAGCCATTTTGGTGGTGCTGGTGGACCACAGATCAGGGGCACGTGGATCACAGAGAAAGAGAGAGGCTACAACATTGCAGTGTGAATCCAAGCCATGCCAATTCCCAGGCAGGGGAGCATGAGGAAGGGCTATAACAGTTTTGTGGTAGGATCAGGTGTGGTAGAGGCAGAGGAGAAAGACAGTGGTCAGTGGAACAAAGCATATTGTCTCCCATCGTGTGTATCTATCATGGCTGTATTGTTGACTCTTCATTTTAATTCTGAAGGATTAACTCAGGCAATGGATTGTGCATTGATGCAGTTGGCTGCAGAACGCAAGCTGAAAGAAGTCATAATTAGGTATATTTTATAAATAAATATTGTATCTAAGGAATGCATATAGCCTTTGGGCAAATCACAGGAAAGGATTCGTTATGCAAGTCAGTCACCAGAGGCTTACATGATTATACCCTGCTAGCCAATTTCTCTCAGGCTAACTCTCTCCGGTCCAAACAGTTTTAGTCTTGGTAAAAAGTAAATGGTTTAAACTCACTGATGTAACAGAGCTCTTCTTATATCTTTGTACCTGGATTTTCATGTCTCATCTTTTACTCTTCATTTGGAAGAAGACTAGAGGCACCTTGGGGGTACATCTCTGATCAGGACCGCATAATAAATTTCAGGTTTATGTTAGACTTTTAGTGTCTGAGAGATCAATTCCATCAATAAAACAACACCCACATGGTCATTTGCCTCATGTCTGTACATTTTGCAGGGAGGTAAATCGAGCTCTGCCAGAGCACTGTAGGTTCCGCTGAAGTCTACTGAGTCATGGCAGGCCCTTTGTATTGCATCTGCTGCTGTTCCAGGAACAGCAGGAGGGGACATGCTGACTCCTTGGTGTCCTGGTTCCCAGCCGGCATATCACCAGGCACTGCTGATGACCCGTGTAGCAGACAAGGCATGGGCATGTGCACCAAGTCTGTGCACGCACCATGACCCCATGGTGGTGACAGTTGCCTCCAGTAGAGCCCAAGAAGTTGACAGAGAACCCCAATACCAGGAGAAGTTGTAAGAATATCTACCTGAGCTCATTTGCCAGACCTCCTAATAAGTGTAATCTTGTGAAATGTTTGTATCATTGATGTTTAATTCATTAGTGATAGCTTTTACTGCTTTCTCAGTTCATAAATACTGTCCAAATGGAACTTAACTATTTTCCAGTTACTGTAGTTTCAAGGCAGTGTAACACTATTAAATATGAGTTTGAAAGTCAGAGTTACTGAAGATTACATCTGTCACTTTCCTCTAAATGCAACGCTTCTTGCAAAACATTCAAAATCATTAATCTGCAGATAACAAAGAGGAACACTTTGGTAATGTGAAGAAAACTGTGAAATTTGGCTGGAAGGTGATGTCCAGCACTGACTTAGCTTAGGGGATCACACAGTTTGCCTTGGAACAGTTTGCTTTGGAAAGCTTTAGTCATGTTTTATGTAATAGAGCATTAGTTCAAGACATCATGGTCATTAGTAGGTCATACATCTGCTTAAGCTCCTTAAGTTCTGGCACGAAGATCAGATATACTGCTGAGACCTCTTTTCCCTAACTGTCTTATTCCAGACAGAAGGGAAGAATTATAGAATAGATGCTCAGCTGCTGTAAATCACGGAACTTTTACAGGCATTAATAGGTCACTTAAATTTAGGGTAGCAGAGGAACTGTGCTATGATTAGTACTATTACAAAATCATTTCATTTTCTCCAGTGATCTTTTTGCAGCTAAGCATTATGATTCTTTTAGACCTGCATTTAGAACTGCAAGTAACGTGACCAGGTGTTTTATATGAATATACAGATACAAAATTAAATGTATGCCTTCCGTTTTTAGCGTATTCGTTTGCTTCCCCAGACACTGACAGTTCATTCCGGTTTTGTTCTTGTGTTTTTCTTCCTACATAATTTATCAGTTGACCACTTGATCTCTTCTCTGCTTCACTCAATATCCCCTTATCTCTCATTTTTCTTAGTAGCCAGTTTGTCTATTGTGTGATATGTTTGCTAGAAGTCATCTCATCATTTCTTTAAATGTGCCTTGGAAATAGCAAAGGTCTTTCTGCTAGAGATTATATTCTCCTGCGAGGAAAGATAACTCAAACATTTCAACTGCAGAAAGCTGAAAGGTTGAGAGAGACTTTGCACGACTTTCCTGCTTGCTGTGATAAAATCCTGGGGTTTTTTTGTGAGTACCACGTAGACTACTTCTGTTGTAGTAGATAAAAGGAAAACTTCCATGAGGAGAAGGAATACAATAAAAATTTGTGTGTAGTGAAATCTTTGGAAGTCTGAGGTGTTGTGTATCTCCTCTTGCAAGCACTTTGTTGGACTGAGGCAGAGCTGATTCCAAGGATCACTTATTACAAAAACAAAATACTATTTTCATCTTTTTTGGCAGTACAAGAGGGAGACTCTGAAGACCACGAAGTACGTGGAGCTTGTTATTGTGGCAGATAATCGTGAGGTAAGAAACTTAAAACTAAAACGTTATGGGAAGCATGGGTAGGGAACGAGAAGCTCAGTTCAGCTACCATGTAATGTGGGTCAGACAGTAATATGATGGTTTGTAAAAGTAAAGCTTCTTCCCTAATTAGGGCTAAGCAATGGAAGGCACTATTAAGACAGGACAACACTGCTAGTCTACTGTAAAATTTCTTGCAATAAGGAATTTGACTCTCAGATAACTGGGATATCTGGCAGTAATTGAAGAAGAGGCAAATACAAATTCACTGCCCAGGGTCTCCTTGAGCTAGTTACATCTTCATTGCAATTGACTCTGCCCTCGGCGGGACCGACGCTGTTTGGAAGACACAGTAGGATCCTGCGCTTGCTTTTGAAGCAGTACTTTACCATCACATTGCATGAAGCACGACTGCCTTCCTGATGGTTTGCAAAGAGAGCTTCAAAGCGAGTAACCAGGACTGGCTCTAGAAATGTTCCAGTCAGTTGAATGGCAGCCAAAGATCTAAATCTTGGGGTTTGTCTCCTTGAACACTGCTAGTTAGGGAATTACAATCACTCCGCTGCAAGAGCTGAAACTGCTAACAGAAGAGCCTTTTCTTTTTCACAAAACATCAGTCCCTGACGGATCCCTGTGTAAGACTTAGGGATTTAAAAATCTTTTCATGAGAACCAAAATCCTATCCCATAGCTTGTCCTTATTCTGAAGCAGACCGTTGTCCCATGAAGCCAACAGGAGCCTGCCGACGGCCTTTGGTTGCACTCTGTAATTCCCAAACATCACCAACAATGCTGGCAGAGTAAGGTGTCTGTTGCAGGGAAACTATGATATTTGTGCTGCTGGTACATTGATCCTTTACATTCCAAGTTTCAGAGACAAGGCAAGGATGTGGAAAAAATCAAGCAGAGGCTGATAGAAATCGCAAACTATGTTGATAAGGTAAGATCGTGAGCATTATTTCACCTTTTCCAAACTTACTATGTTTTTTCTACTAGTAAATTAAGAAAGGCACCACGCTCAGATCTGCACCTTTCTCAACCTTTGCCCCATCTCCACCTTTTCAAGGAACTAACCCTGCTGCTTTCCTAATACTCCAGTATTCCAGAGCAATGCTTCTCTCCAACCAGTAAAACAGAAAAAGTAAACGTAAACCTTTCCTATGCCCTTCAACATACTAAGCTGTGAGCTCTGCTCTGCTATATATGGGATGCATATATCTGTGGAAGGACTGTTCCTAAGGAAATGTGCAATTTAGCCCTAGGACTTTATTAACCTGGGAAAAGGGTGGGGATAATCCCATATGGAACAGCCCGTAGAAAAAGATTATTTTGAGGAGGAATTTGGAGAACAAAGTCCTTTGCAGCAGCAAGGGATGGTCCGATTGTAAGGCCATCAAAGGGCCTGTGAAGACACAGTCAATAAGACATATAGCCCAAGGAAGGTGCCAGAATTAGAAATATGCAGTGCTTAAGGAAGCAGAAGTTGATGGCTGAGTGAGAGCAATAAGAAAGAGACATACACTGGATTTTTTTGTATTTGAAGTAATTTCTTGACAATAAACAATAAACGCTAAGAGTCCTCTACAGTGTTTTTTGAACAAATTTTTTTTTGTTGTGCTGTATGGCCAGAAAAAATTAGGAGTCCAGTAGTGAAATTATAACTAAGGGAGTCTTAATTTAGCTGAGAACTTATCAAGTGATACTTCAAGGGCAATAACTCAAGGAGAAGCATTCTTGATTAAAAACAAGCTACTGGAGACACCTCCACCTCTTCCATAATTGTCTTGCTGACTTATTACTGGAGGACAGGTGTTTATATGTTACCTGCTCGATATTAATTTTGCATGTTACAATGTATTTATGTTTCATGATTAATTTATGCTTAGCAAATGCCAATGTTGTCCAAATGACTGTAATGCATATAAACAAGACAAAGATCTAGTATATGCTTTTCTGAGACTGTCAGCCAAATCTGGACTTGATCGATTCTTGAATCCTTCTTCACATTAGTCTCACATCAGAATTGTTATCTCTGCTCCATTGCTAATGCTGCTCTGGCTCCCCTCTTGTAGCATCTGTGGCATTTACCAGTGGGATAATAGTGTTTGTAGCCCACAGTACTAAAAATCACTTGTTTTTATCTGCTTTGAGCAAGACTTGATGACTCTGGCTAAATTTTCAGCTACTATTTTGAACCAAACTGTAGTACAGCACAGCTGCCTCTACCTCTTGAATTGCATTGGTGCTAGTGACAGAGGGCAGCCATGGAGAGAGTCATCTGCCATAGCAACACGTTTGTTCAGAAGTGAAGGACATGCGAAGGTAGTTGCAGCATTTCATCTTGAAGGAAGATACCAAACTTGGGTGGGACATAGAGAAGTAACATATCTCTGGATGTCTTTGAATGTCTTATGGGTATTTAGTCAGGTCAGAACTGTTTTCTGTAAGTCATGGAAATATTTTGTCTGAGTCAGTCCTGTCAGGTGTTCACTTTTGCCCTGGAGAAGAGACCATTTAAGCCTCTGCAAGAAAAGTTCAAACGCACATTGTACTTCTGTTGAAATATTCTAACCCAATGTGGGCTAAAATGGGTTTGGGAAACATGTTTCTATTTTTCTTTTCTCATCAGTTCTATAGGCCACTAAATATTCGAGTAGCCCTGGTTGGAGTGGAAGTATGGAATGACATGGATAAGTGCTCTATTTCTCAAGACCCTTTCACCAGCCTTCATGAGTTTCTGGACTGGAGAAAGCTGAAACTACTACCTCGTAAACCCCATGACAATGCACAGCTGATAAGGTAGACTTAACACTGTATTTAATATCAGCCGGGACTTCAGTGATTTGAGAATAGCTGTACTGAATTCTTCTCCAGTTGCTAAGCTGTTGGGAGGAACATCTGCGCTCCTGAGGGTTTGTCTTTCCCCTCTGCAAACATCAAACGTAAAAGCGTTTTGCAGAGCCCTTCAGCAGATACTTCAGATTAATTTCCTTCCACAGCTCTGCAATCACTCTGTTGCTTGTAGACCTTTCCTGGATACAACTCATGTAGAAGTCTAGATGTGTAATAAGCTGGTAAATACTTAGGGTATGAATTTACAAGTGGTTTAAGCTGGTCTCAGTCTAAATTGTTACTGAAAAAGGCAGTCCTGCCCTCACCCCGAAGGTAGAGCTAAGGGGGCACTGTGTGAAGCCTGTTGTTAGTAGAAAGACCTCAGTAAACTTTAAAATGCAGTCTGAATTGGACAATCCATTTGCATTTGTGACTTAAAAATTAAATCATACACATCTTTTACCCTGCTGCTGTTTCCTGAATTAAAGTAATTGAGCAAACATGTTCAAAGTAAAAGCACTCTTAAAAAAAAAAAAATATGAGTAAGAGGAACACCTCTTTCTTGAACCAGGTATCGTTTTGATCAATGAACCGATCTTTATACTGTACAGATAGACACACCTGACGTCTTAGTAATTAAAAGGAGTTCTTTATTCGTTACGTAGATATTCTTACATTATCTGTGTAAGAATAGAGTGAGCCCTTCCAAACTGTCCCTCATGAGATATTTGATTACTCTCTATGTATAATAATACTTTGTTTGGAACGATTACATTCTAGGCTGTGTATTGTAACAAGTAACATATAAGCTTCCCCCTGCGTTAAAATAACCCTTCTTTGAGCTAGAGATATTATTTTTATGTTTGTACTTCTATTCCCACCTTCAGTCAGGGAAAAAAGAAAGGAGAGAAAGGTCCTGTTACAGCAGTAAACCCAAAGGAGGGTGATCAAATGGATCTTTCTCGTAGCAGGGATGCTGTCATTGTCAGTTCGGCAAGTCGACATGACTAATCTGTGCTTTTCATTGTTTTAAACCTGCAAATGTCTGGAGCTGACACATTTGAAATGGGATCTTTGTTGGAGGTTGGCAGAAATACAAGACTGAAAATAATAGGGTGGTATCTTGGCACTGAATGGTGATTCTGTGATTCTTCTTCTCCACTCCCGCCCTCCTGCAGCGGGGTGTACTTCCAAGGGACTACCATTGGCATGGCGCCCATAATGAGCATGTGCACTGCAGAGCAGTCTGGAGGGGTCGTCATGGTAAGTGGTAAAAGCACGGGACTTGAAACTGGCCCAACTGGTGCAACACAGTCTCAGGTATTCTGTACCAGAACATCAGCCCCATTTGTCCCATTTTCAATCTCATTATCTATATCTACATGCACATTGCTTGTAAATTATAGTTTCCATAGTGGAAAAAAATCAAAATATTGCATTAAAATATAGCATGACCTCTTTGCAAGAATCCTCTACTCCTAATTTTCACTAAATCAGGTGCTGAGGTGCTGTGAAGGATGAGAACCAGAAGATGTATTTGTTATGCACTTGGGTATACTAGTGTTACAGGCAACAACAGTTTATCCTGAATCTTTTATTATATCGATTTTATTCTGTATTTACAGAGTTTCCTGTGTAAGGCCTTATATTCCATCTCTGCAGCACAGTGGTTTTATTACATTGCCAGACAACGAGAACAAACAATGGCAGCATTTATTCTACTTGAGCCTCTCTCAGAGATATATTACTGCTAACGCTGTTGTTAGATGCTAGACATGAATGAACATACCGGTAAACATCTTAGCCAATTTCTGGAAGTAGTTTTGGAATATTTTCTTTCAGAACTTTTTTTTTTAAAATTTTTAACTGTTTTGTGCAAAAGGCGGGGGGGAAGAAGTTTTGCATTAACTAAGCTTTGCAATAGAAGTACTTTAAATAAAATTAGACGTGGACTCCAGAGCTTGCAGGCCACTAGCAGGCTCAGCTGGTGACCTCAGAGCTCAACTCCAGAGCAAAAAGCCGGGAAGCCCTAAAAACCTCTTAGATATTCTCTGAGTTCAGCCTGCATGTGCTGAAGACCTTTGTGTTTCCTACAGCTTTGTCTCGACTTCCAGCACCTTAGGTGATTGTGGTGGTTCTCTCCAGCTCTGCTGGACACCTCAGCTGCAGATCCCTACATGAATGAGGTGGGAGCTCAGGAATGGACAATGCTGAGAGTTTGTATGGTCTCAAAGCTCCCGGTTCTTCAAAGCTTCATGGGGCTAACCTAGAGCCTGGGACACTTTTTGCTTCAAGACAATCCATGTTAGGGGGGTAATCCCAGAGATACAGCTCCTTGAAGCCCCTGTATCTCCTTTCTTAACTAGCGTGCAAGCTGAGGTTGTTCCACAATGCAGGGCTCCTTTGTGGTCTCTTGGACAAGTGGGCAAGAAGCCAAGCTGGGGTGATGCGTGCATTCGTGGAAGATGATGTATAGATGGTTCAGACTGGGAAAGACAATCCATGTTAGGGGGGTAATCCCAGAGATACAGCTCCTTGAAGCCCCTGTATCTCCTTTCTTAACTAGCGTGCAAGCTGAGGTTGTTCCACAATGCAGGGCTCCTTTGTGGTCTCTTGGACAAGTGGGCAAGAAGCCAAGCTGGGGTGATGCGTGCATTCGTGGAAGATGATGTATAGATGGTTCAGACTGGGAGGATTTACGAGGAGAGCGGAGAAGATGAGGTAGAGTGGGAAAGAACAATCAAATCACATAATTTGGAGAAAGTCATGTCAAAATTGTAGAAAAGACAAAGGCTTCAGTCTCTTGGTAGCTTTAGAAGCTGAGTCTCTAATTGGAGTTTGTTACAGCTTTTCACTGGGTGCCTGGGGGATAGGTACAAAAGGAAAAGTAGGAAAAGAGGAACAAAAAGCTGTAGGAGTCTCCCAGTGCACTTCCAAATCTTGGCAAAAGCATACATGAGGCAGAGAGCCCCATTGTATCCATTTCACCCTCAGGCCAGCAGTGACTACTTTGGCTTTATCTGCAGTCAGAGATGCCCTTAATGATGACTTTTTTGTCCTTTCAATTTTTAGCATAAGCTTTAAAATATGCTACAGTGTGTTTTACTGCAAAGTCAGTCCTCTTCGCTCTTTAAGCTGTCATTTTAAACAGAAACAGCAGAAAATATTTTGTTGCAGTAATAAGAAAACAAGAATCAGCATTTCTTTAAAGTGCTCTCAGGGCTCAGAGAGAGGAGAGACTGATTTATACGTCCAGGAGAAACCCAATGTCTGTCTATGAATCGTGGGCCAGGCTGCAGCTTGAGTTGTGCAGGGAAGTGTGATGTTTCCCACAGACTCCCACCTCAGTGAAGTGAAACTTTTGAGGTGCAGATTAACTCGAGGCTTGCACAGCATAACTAGAAATGTTTTCCAGTTCTTTAAGCAAATCCGCAAAAAGGAGCCAAATCCAAAACAAGCAAACACTCACCCTCAAAAGCCAAATGGGCAGCTGTCCAGCCTTCCCTGCCAGTTAACAAAGGCTAATTCAGGTGTATACAAAAAAAAGTTTTTATATGTACAGTACCTACAGAAGAAAGCTCTAAATTTGGAAGATAGGCAAATGAAAGAATGAATAACTGTTAACGTGGGTGGCTATAGCGCTCAAATGTCTCAACACTGGGCAACATTTGGCCATCCTTATAATTCAGCCAAACTCTTGTCCATCCCACCTCGAACACTCAATACCAAAAAGCTCCCACACTCTCAGAACTGATCTGAAAGAAGAGACAACGGAGAGCTTGCATGAGAAATAACATTTGAATACAAAAAAATGGAGTCATCCTTGTACGATCTGATTTTCCTGGCCGTTTTTGCAGTTGCTCAGCTTTACTATATGATCTAAATTCCTCTGCCATGCCTCCCTGAGAGCTTGCCCCTCTCTACTTTTGCATAGGGCTGAATTCTCTCAGTGGTAGGTGACACCCTGTGCTCCCACTAGTTTTAAGAGACATTCAAAGTGGGGAGAGCAGGCCTCTGAGTATGAGAAGCTTTTGGTGTATCAAGAGCATTATAATTTTATTTTACTGTGATGGTTCTGTTGGGTCGTAGAAAGACCAAAAAAATGTTGACATTAAATCAAGTCTTTGACACATGATTCAGTCTTCATTCTGTTTCAAAAGATTGCCCGCTAAATTCATGGATTTAAAAGTAAAACATTGCTGCGTTGCTGTAATGTAATGTAGTGTTTTCACTCACGTCAAATTTCTATTGATTTTAGTGGGAGGTTAGGCTAAATGACAAGTGTGGAACTGAGGCACTTACATTTCAGTGAATTGCTTAAATGAAATAAAAGTGTGGTGTAGGAAACTTATTCCTACAACTGAGTGAAACTGCATGGATAGTACCAGGATTGGGGCATTTGCCTGTTCTAGTTGTAGGGGACGGTATTTTATTATTGCGATTTGATCTGAATCTCAGTGGAATGAAGCAGAGTTCAGCTGAAAGCAGCTGCGTGTTTTGTGTAACAGCTTATAATATCTTAACAGTAGATGGTTGCTTATTAAAGTGGTTGTGAAACTGTTTGGTAATGACTTTTATGGCTCAAGTTAACTTTAAAAGACCCTGATGGAATAAATCAATGTCGCATTGCTATTCATTTCTTTAGTCCTTAACATACTTAAATGGTCTCAGTATCAAATGGGACATGTCACTGTTTGCTTTGATAATCTTCATTTATGCTGTCTTCAAATAAACTCTTTTGCTGAGACATCACATTCCTTGTTTTAAAAACCCTCTCTAGAAACTGATAAAATTGCATTCCAAGTGGATCTGAGCAAGTAATGAGAACCGCATGGGCTGTAATAATTGTTTGCCTATTCAAGACCCAAATTACATTTCAGATCATTTATTGCTCTAGTTTTGGAGTGGACTGTGTGAATCCTTGTTTTTATTTTTAATTGCCAGCTTTAGAGGTGTTCAAATAAATATAATCTCTGTTCAGTAAGAGAGACTGGCAAAACGAAGAAAAACTGAGCTCAGTTTGTTGTCTGTCTAGGTAGCTCAAAGATTAGAGAAGTTTCTGTCTTGACCACATAGTCCTAATTTCAAGGCATCTGTGCTGCTGGTAAATCGTATGGAATTATTTCATTGTTTTCTTAATCTTCGGTCCTGGATTGTTTTCCAGTTGAGTGAGGGGTTGTGCTCTTTTTATGAAATCAGGTTCAACTACATTGAATCCTCTAGATATTTCATAAATTACTGTGAGTACAAAGATAAATCAATCTGTATGTGACTAGTAGCTAGATAAGACATCTCTATATGTAGGTATTGTGCACGAGTATATGTTTTCTTGATTATTACAGATTATTTTGCTGCATAGGTTTATTCTGTTGTTTCTTTTACTAGGACAGGTTGTACAGCTTCTTTCAGCAAACAGGCATCTTAGAATATAACTGACTGTTATGTTAGTCACAAGATTTTTATACTAAAGTCTTAAAATTCAGGAAAAACTAAAAAGAGATCCTTTGTTAAAAGACAAATTTCTTCTGCGTTTATTCCAACTACAGGAGTAGTTTCTTGTTTTCACAATGACTGTATTCTCTTTTTTATTTTGTTTTCTGTTTGAGAAATGATTTCCTAAAAATATTAGCAGAGGCAGATGAAAGAAGAAATTCTTATATCTACCCCAATCATGTATTAAGGGATTCATTAATATATAGCTAATGTTTTAGACAGTTTTACCTTTCACTTCTTTTTAGTCTGAAGGTTGGCTTAGATGATACTAAAAGAGTTATTTAAACTGAATATATTCATATATGCTTTTAGAGCAGGCAGCTGTACATCATAATTCCATTTACTGACTGATAAATAGTGGATCATGCATTTATATTACATGTTTATGCCTATAGGGAAAACTTTCATATGAGTACAGCAGAATTTTTTTCCCTCAAGGAAAATGATCAATGTGGAAAGGTCAAAACAAAACATCAGTCTGATCAGCAGCCTGTAATCAGACCATGCAGTGAATTTCTCAGAAATAACTGTCCCAAAAATCAGCATTTCAACGATGATTAATGTTAATATCTCAATTTTGACACTTGCAAGATTTAGAATATTCATAGGTGTTAACAAGAGGCCATCGAAGATTTCGACTTGCGTTATCCTTTCGTTTTAAAAAGGTTTTCAAAGGTACTTGGCTTTTCGTACAAGGCTTGTGAAATCTTGTACTTTCTGCTATTAAAGAAACAGTCTGAAGAATATTAAGTAGACTGCATTTGTAATTCACCTCCTGACATGAAGGATCTTCTCACTTTTCCCTCATCACACTCATCCTCACCCATAAGTGATTACCCTTTCCAACACTCCACATCTGGGTGACTGTTTTCAGCCTTTGCCATGTCTTGGGAGTTTGGGGGATTTATTGAGCAGGGGAATTTTAAGCCCTAAATAAAGAGATGGCCCAGATGTGCAAAGGTGCACAATGGTCTCAAATGTCTAATGTGCTGGGGAAACTGGGTGGCCGGGACAGATAGCCTGTCCTGAAATTCCACGTCTGCACTTGGTATATGTGGATGAATTTAAAATTGTGTCCATTTAACCACAGTGTAACTGCAGCTGGGAAGTTTATAAAACATTTCAAAGGACAGGCAATAGGACCTTAGAGGGGGAGCGTGTATTTTGAGTTGGTTTTATATGTTGACTTCACTAGTTCTTTTGTGTTTTTTTTAAGGATCACTCAGAAAACCCTCTAGGTGCAGCAGTCACCCTGGCTCATGAACTGGGCCACAATTTTGGAATGAATCATGATACATTGGAGAGGGGCTGTAACTGCAAAGCGTCCACCGATAAAGGGGGTTGCATCATGAACCCCTCTACTGGGTAAGTGCGAGGGTAAGCACTGACAAGTTATAGTTATAGTGGAAATTTTTTAGTTTTGTTTTGTGTCTCAGGAACATTTAAGGGGAAAAAAGAAAATCTTTTCAGCACCTGTCAAATCTTCTCATAGTTATCCCCTTCAAGCTGAAACAATTGAACTTGTTATCAGAGCACGACACGTACCATTGTACCTTTCTGTTTCCCTGTTACCAGTGTGAGAGACAAAAATGCTATAAGCAACTGGTTAATTTAAAAAAAAAAAAAACAAAAAAGCAAAAAAACCAACTGCATTGCAAGCGTTGAAGCAGAATTTCACCTTCTCTCATCTCGCCAACTTAGTATCATAGTCGCAATAGGAAATAAGCAGCGTCCCAAGGCCAAGACTAAGATGAATGTGTAGGAAATAAAGTAATGCAGGAAATATATTATTAGACTCTCTTTAAAGCCTTTGTCTTGTGCAGAGAAGGTTTTTAGTTTTGCACAGACTTTTGCATTTCACCCCTTGTTATAAGTGTGTAGCAGTATTAGCATGTGAGCAAATTAAATCTGTAAAGTCAGTGGGGTTAGGGCTGTTCAGTGGCCAGAGGGAGATCTTCCAAGAAAAGATATAAGACAGTGTGGGAAATAAAGCCAGTGAACCCATGGTCATCTCTCTGAGTCAGTGCTGAACGGTCACTCTGCTGATGATAAATGCACTATGTCAATGGAGAAGCGTAGTGGTTTTGTAGACAGAAAAAGTACAGGCACCATGACCAGGGTAACTAGTTACAGCTTGCTTCTCTGTATTTTAAAGTACCGTTAGAAACTGAACAATATAATGAATGAGTTCTCCATGTCCATATTCAGACAAGAACTGATAGGATTAAATTTAAGGAAGAGAGAGTAGATTTACCGAAGCTTTCTGATGGTAAGTGACGTGCTGGACTGGATTGCCTGCACAGATGTTGCTGCCTGTGACTGGAAGCTGGTAAGAACCAGTGAGACAAATATCTGTCAGCAGTGTCTTGTAGGTACAGCTGGATTTGTCTTGGGGCAAGAGGATGGTCTAGATGATCTTCTGATGTCTCTTCCAGCTCCAGCATTCTCTGTGTATGCTTAAACTTCATCTCTTGCTTAAAAATCTCTTCTGGGAATTGTGATCAGCTCAGCCTCTGCCTTCTCTGAGACTGCATGTTTCTGGGAAAGAAGGAGAGCAATCTGGGAGAGGCCAGGGAGCGTTGGGCAGGATTGCTCCCTGCTGGTCAGCCTAACAGCAGCCTTGGCGTTTCTTCAAAGGCATGCTGTCACCCTCCTTCAAGGCAGAAAAAGGGATTCTGGCCAGAGGCCAAGCACAGCAAGTTAAGAGACAAACAAAAGAGAGTTGTGTGTGTGGAGGAGCATGAGAGTGATTTCTACAGTTTGGAAAAGAAAAATAGCTTGGCTCTTCTAAAACAATAGGTAGTAAATATCCGTATGGAACTGCATTCTGCAGCACGTCAGGGCTCGTATGCAAACTGTGAAAACAAACTGGAATTGGAAACAGGGCTCTGAGGTGAGGTGGTGCGATAGCTGGTAAGCAGTGGGCAAACAGGCCTGAGCTCTGGGCTCTCAGCTCCTGAAAGGTGCGTGCAAGCTTTAGTCACCTCAGCTGAACTACTGGTTGGGCATCCAGTTACTCCGTTTTTGGAAATAAATGCAGGAGATGCTCTCAGGAGAGAAATTCCGAGACGCTTTCTGCACTCATCAGATATCTCCAACGTGAGATTAGATAGCTCTTCCCTGGTTCTGCCTTCTGCAACCAGAGTCCTTTGGGTGTACCTGAAGCTGTCCTCTGTGCTGGATGTGCCAGTCCAGACACTTGGCTCTGGGTTGGCTCAGGGCATGGACAGACCAAGGTTGTACCTGCTCAGTGTCTTGCTCAGATAGGAGTCCAAGCAGCTCAGCTCACTTCACGTTGGGGTTTCTGTAGCACCTTACAGCTTAAAGGCCATGCTTCCTTCAGCAACGCCGTGCCCAACACTAGCACCCTACAGTTTGGAGAGGGGGCCATCAGGTACACTTCGGCTTTGTGACACGCTCTTCAGATTTTTACCGAACTTTATATGCAACTTGTGGAAGAGTTGTGGCCTTCACAGAACTGAGCAGGCTGTTTTGTTTGCAGTGATTATTGATTTATAAATGGAAATTTTAACATCAGGTTTATAGCCTTAGGCTTTACCTTCATACTGTGCTGTCGATCTGTAGTAAGTATTCTGGGAGAATACTTTACATCTTAAGCCAAACTGCATTTTACCAATTTAAAATTAACACTTCGAATGTTTACCCAACATCTGACCGATGGCAGTATTCCTCTGAGCGCCATTATTCAAGGAACACTGAAGAGTTTTCGGCTCTGGAAGTATGTGTCTGTTAAGGGAAGGCCAAATTAATATTCCTTACCTGAAAAACATTCTTAGAATAGGAAAAACATCAAGACAAAGAGCATCCCAGGGAAGCCAAATACATTTAGAGAGACAGCCTGCTCTATCAGTATACTCATTGACACTCACTCTGTGCTCTTCTAATTTCTGTTGGTTTAAGGTAGATTTAACAAGTGCAAGAAAAAAAATCTTTGGGCTGAAGATAGTTGAAAAAGTACAAGCCCCTGAGAAGTCCTTATCTGATATCTAAAAAGAATAGGAAATATCTGGGTTATAACAGAAAAGCATCTGTAAACTTAACTTTGGAGTCATTTGTGTGGTTGTGCAGCAAAAGGGAATGCTTGAAGGTTTTTTACTGAAAAGTGATTTCATTAATTATTGCCATCTTCTTTCAGTTCTCATGTTTCACTCTTTGAAGAGGTCTTGGAAATTACTTCTTGGTGGAAAAAATCTCCAGGGATCAGTGTGGAATTTAAACTCTGTTGAATCTATCCTTTAATGAGCTTCCTATAGGTTTTATTCTTAAAAGATACCAGCAAGATGTGTACCACTTGTGTGTGAGCTACAAACGCCTTAAAGACCCACTACTTTAGCAAAATATATTTTGTATAACATGGAATTAAGCATTTAAAACCCAAAATTTCTGTCACTCCAGGCCTTTTAGAGATTCAAATATCTGCTATGGAAACAACATAAATCCCACTGTAGAAGGGGTTGGGTTTTTTTGCTATAAAAATCGTATCAACAAGGAAATATTTAATACTAACACATTGTTCCCTTTTTTTATGCATATGTTTTAATGGTATTCCTTCGGTTCCTTTAGTTGTTTTGACCATAGACTGTTCCAAGTGAAAAAAAAGGTATAAGGAGTCTTAAAGAGATTTGCAAATCTTTTTACTGAGATCGCAGTATCTGAAAACTAAGGCACTAGGCTGACTCAGTGAGGCCATTTCAGTATTCCACTTGTTTTCCCAGTATCTCCCTAAAGTTTCCACTCTTAGGAGTGAAAATATTCTTCCTGACAGCTAGATAAATACAGAAAAGTTCTGGTGAAACCCAAGGCATTAGTCTAGATTTATACCACTGCAACTAAAAGCAGAATTTAGCACAAACTGTGGAGCAAAATTATGCCAATTAGCGGTGCTTGTTTATTTAATAATTTTGGAAATGCCTTTTACGTGCTGTTTCACCAAAATTGAGCACAGGTGTCTCCATGGGGCTTGAAACAGGGTAAGTTCCCCCAAAGTAATTGAAAGCTTAAGAGTTAATATATGCTTGAAATTTCTTGCCAGCCTTAAACATTTTCAGTTAGTCTTCTTCCCTCCTATAAACCCAAGGGTTTATACTTCCCCTCACCCACATGTCTGTGTCCCTGCCAATAGCGTGCTCTTCTAGTTTATATATAGGTGACTCTCAACTAACTTGTCATCAGGGAAGTTGAGCATACTGTAAACATGTTCTTCCTTCCCTCTAGCAGAAGGTATTCCTTGATGCCTTTCCATTCCCCGCCCCAGTTTAGGTGTTAATGAGAGACCAGGAATCCATTAAGGACAGCTACTTTTAGCAAGCTCATTCAGATGCTGATCCTACTGTAGTCTCCATCCCTTTGCGGAGTCCCGTGACTTGCTATAATGAAAACTTCTTTGTCATCTCGCAGAAGTGTGTTGCTCTTACCAGGATCAGTTCTTGGTGCTGAATCATCCCAGCCACGGCTAATTGAAATGCCAGGCAAGTTCCTAGGATAGAGCCGTTTGTTTTCTCTCTCTTTGCACTTCCGTAGGCAGAACCAGGTTTTCACCATGCTGATAGAAAAGAGGATGACGGGAAAAGGCCTGCTTTGTAGTCTCTCCTCCAGTCCCATTTGCACCTGGCTATGGGAATGACGGAGATTTTCTCCAGCTCTGCCCTACTGCCCAAACCCCATTTCTTTTGCTATCCATGTATTGTGAGATGAAATACCTCATACTGACCTGGAAGGGTGCATGCTTTAACCATAGCCTGAAAGCTATCTTCACAGCTGTAAATCATGGGGGGCTTTTACACACCCGTTCAGCAGACCCCTCTTAACCCATTGCACTGAAAATACAAATGGAAAGTGCAAACTGACTTGGAGTTTGTCCCTGCAAACAAGTACAATAGTAGGAAGACAGGATGGGTTTTTGCTGAGGAGCCATGCCTTCAAATGCCCTTGAACTCTAGCATCAAGCACCATCGCTTTGCGTCCAGTCCTCCAAATCCTGCTGCACACCAAGCACAGCCTGGCATCAGGTCATTAAGTCTGCTTCGACTCTTATTTCGACTTTGGCTGTAAATTGCTTCTTTTCGAAGACCATGATGATGAAGAAAAGGTGAAATAAATGCAAAATAATCAAAAATAACAAATCCTTAGGAAAAGAAAAATGGTGTATGGGCTATTTTTTCAAGACATGAAACAAGTGGTACATATTCAGAAAGTGCAAAACCTGATGTGTGAGAGAGGTCTTGGCCATTGCTATTTGTTCAACAGACCTGAATGAAAGAATATCCCTTCAAAAACTTCTATTTTAACCTAGGTCCCTGGTAGACTTGTTTTTCCTCTGTTCCAAGAGTTGCGTGTTCCAGAGC